AGAGAGAGAGAGAGAGAGAGAGAGAGAGAGAGAGAGAGAGAAATGCAATCGATCCCAAAACTCGCTCGTGCAGTCATTATGAATTTGGGCGTAGCTTTCGGGTATAGCCGATGCGCCGTGGAGAGGGTTCTCTCGCCAGTCAGATTTTACAGCACAGGGGTAACGCCCCACACTCGCGTCGACTCGACCAGGAGCTGTAAGAGCATGCCAAACTCGGGGAACTGGATAGGGAAAGCCAACAGTGTAGAGTCCCTCCATTTTCGTAGCTTCTCAACTGCCCCGTTGCTTACACGCAGTATGTATCAGCAGCAGAGGAATCTCTAAAGAACCTGAGTCACTCTGCGCTTGGAGTGCGTTGAGTTGTCTCTCTGGGGCCGTCGCACTGGCCAATAGTTCCGAAGAAGTGAAACGTCGGTCTTTTTTTCTTCTTCACCATTTCGTCTCTCTTTCTCTCGCTAGCAATACGTAGAATGACGCGGGCGTTGGAAAAGGACGAGTACCGTGAAACTTATTTCTAAATCCGAATAGTGGTTGACGTCGATTTCGGTGCGCGGCACCTCTTTCCGCCCTCGGTCGTAGGAGGTGGCCGACGACGTCTCCGCGTCGCCACAGGCAGGAAGGCGCGGGCGAACGAAAAAACAGACTGGTCAGCGGTATGCAAAGTACACGCGTAGGTATGCACGGGCATCATGTGAGGCGGCTAGTGCTGCAATGTCTGTATGGAAAAGTTCGATGTCTCGACGTCCTTCGTGCGACTCGCGTAGACGTTTAGGAGAGTCGAGTGGCTGGGCTGCTGAAGGAAGTTGGAGGAGGATAAGCGGGACGAGGTCTAGAGACAGAACGAGAGAAGGAGCAGCGTGTGCGTGAGAGAGAATAAAGTTGGCTCTCGTCTGGCTCAGGAAGAATGCTAAGGGAAGACCTTTGCTCGAGCAGAAGACGTCGTGACTCAAAAAGGTCTTCGTCTCGAGTTTCTTACTTTTAGTCATTTCATCGAGAAGAAGAGCTTCACTTTCTCTCTCTCTTTCTCTCCCTCCTTCCCTTTTTCTCTTTCACTTTTTCTACATTTTTTTTTATTCCTCGTCGATGCTCCTTCCTTCCCTTACCCCCGTTTCTTACACGCCTTTGTCATCAAGTGATCCACCTCCGCCATTGGATCAACTGAATAGGAATGGGCCCTTCGCTCGAATGGATCTGCGACCGTTCGAAAAATAGCGGATTGCCGTGCCGGACCAACCGGAACGAAACCGCTAGTTTTCTTTTCCGAACCGGAACTGGAAACGTAACGATGGAAAGTGTCCGAAAAGCGAGTATAGATATGGCTAAGATATGACCTCTGCATGGTAGCAATCGAGAAAATTGTAACGATGTCTTTTCATGCACACTATATGCATATATGTACGTGCAGGCACAATAAAAAAAAAATTGAAAATATTCTCAGCCAATAGATTTTCATCAAAGGAACGAGGCTCTACATCCCCACGAAAATGGAAACCATACATAAGGAGCCTAGTAATGCTACCACATGATTTTCTTAGGGCTCACGGGTAACGGTAACGTGTTCGTAAATTCGACAAAGATAAAGAACGAACAGACGCCAGGCTCCACTGCTTCGAAGAAACTCGAGACTCGTTCGATTCCATCGATGAGCGTTGATGAGAATAACGAAAGTTCTTTGAAATGTCTTGATGAGAATTCAGTTTCCTCAGTAATTTCTCCAGAGGTCATTTCAGGCCGTCTGTCTCAAACCCAAACGGATCTAATAGAGGAAGAAGCCTACCCGGAATACCTACGTCAGTATCTCGTTGAGTGGAATAATATCGTACATGCCAACGAACAATCAAGGACGTTTGACCTTCTCTCCCAAGGTAGTACAGTAATTTTAATAAATGACGTTATATCGGGAAGAGCTCAATATAATGTACTATCTCGTATGACCTAACCTAAAACACTCAATCGATTCTTTCCATATACAATAAGATATTCCGCAGCTTCTGTCCGTGCCTGCCGGCATAGGCGGCCTCCTACAAACAATATGGATCCCCAAACGTCCCCAGACCCCTGCGACTGGGCTCTGCATCTTCGATCTCTACTTACACACAGTCGCAACCCCTCGGGGAGCCACGGTGGCCAACGCCAGGAACGAGAATCGACCCTCGCTCTCTCCTCGCCGCACGAAATTCCCTGTGCACGGACTTCCCCAGTCTCTGGGATGACGTGGTGGTGAGACATCCAATGCCGCCGCCTCAGCCGCGATTAGTACCAGGAGCAGCAGCAGCAGCCTCGTCGAATCACTGCTCGCTTCTTACGGATAAGGCAACACCGTTACGATACAGAGCGTCAACGGACACGCGCCTTTTCGCTATCCACACCAGAGAAATAGGATCAGTCGCTGTTATCTTTTGCTAACCGACGCCACTTGCATATTTGCCAGCCATGCTGTTTACAGCACGAGCACCAAGGTATTCTCTGATTATGCACTTTGTCGCTATTGTCAACCCGCAACGAATCTCTTCGAGAATACAAAAAAGTTGCATCAGACCAGGAGGTAACCACGAGGAGGCGCTGATATCTCCATGCCACAATTATTATTATTAACGGTTTTTTTTTCAAACTTTTGAATGTATTCTGATTTCGATTAACGACCAGGGCCGTGTGCACTTATGCACCAAGAGAAACAGGCAAGGACTGTACTGTATATGTACCAATATGTGACGTACATAACACACGCGTGTCCTATCTCTCGCAGTCTCGTAGCTGAAAATACCGCGAGAGTTTCGGTCCCTCATAGCTGTTGGCCCCTCTGCACTTTTCTCGTGGTGGCTTTACCAGTCCTACCTACCTACACGCGTAACAGTCGGACGCCGTGACACGCGTAACGCATGCGCGCATGAGGAACACTGTGATGAGAGAGATGTAGATATCTGAGTAGCGAAGCTGGTTAAGGATGGAGATACAACCCTGGGATCGCTTGTTTACGTGTATAGGTGACTTCCCTGGTGTATATATAAAGAGAGAGAGGAGGCGTAAAGGCTGGCCTCTCCTCGCTCTCGTTCTCTTGCTCTTACGGGCTCACGAGTTCACGAGCTGACGGCAATACTGGGCAGCGCGAGCAACAGCACAGCAACTCAGGTAGCAGCAGCACACATGCATCGCGGCAAACCGGCGTGTACCTGCGCCTCCGACTGGCACAAAGAAAGGTAGGAGCCGCCAGTGGCGAAGGGGTAGAGGGGACACACCAAGGGACCTTCTCGAGAAATACGCCGATTGATCGGGTCTTTGACATGAAAAAAGGAAAATATCGTCTGGCCACTTCCAATCCTCGTAGTCTTCGTTTGCATGGGAATAGACTGTGTGGTTCGAGATCGTCAGGGCGTTTCGATTTGGAGATTTTCACGATAGGTTTATTGGTCCTCCAGAGGTCCGCCATTGGAATCCCATTGAGCATTGAAAGGGAAGAATTTTGCTGTTCTCCTTTAGGGTACCGACTTCTCTTTCTATCGTCGTCCTTAGGTACGCGAGGGAAGAGGGGACGGGCCATGATGGAGGATCCGAGCATCGAGACGGCTCCCTCGACGCCCACGATTTTCAACCCACTCGAGGAAAATTGCAGTGTGCATCGCTGTCAGACAAGGATACGCGTGCGAGTAGCAGCACGATGCATCCGAGTTTAAAAGGCTGCCAGGCGGTTAGACGGGCTAACAAGCTCAGAAATTGATAGGCAGATAGATATGTAAGCAAGCAAGCAGCACGAGAGGTAGAGAGGGTAGAGGCTGATAGGTAGATAGGCAGGCAGGCGGTCAGGTAGGAGAAACCAAGGGGATAAAGACTAGCTGTTTATCGTTCGGTGAAAATTCGCCAGGAATTATCAAAATGAACTTAAGATACGCCTTAGTCACAAACTCACTCGCTCACTTGCTTACTCACTCACTCCCTTACACGCACACTCACCTCTCGCGGTGCAGTAAACAAATACGTTCCTTGGCGACCTTCAGCCTCTTGGAGATGATTTTCTTGAGGCTCTCAACGGTGTCCGTGCGCTCGACGGTGAGGTCGAACTGTCCACCGGTGGTGGGAGTAATGCTAATGGTGATATCCTCAGGGTCTCCAGTAGCCGCGACGCAGCCACACCCCGCCGGAGACGAAGTCGGGGTCGGGAGAGGAGACGGAGACGATGAGCCCCTTGTACTCGTACCCTGGCTGTTATCCATTGTGGGAGCAGCCAATGGCGTGTTTGTCGTGACCTCAGAGTCACCGTCGCCGTCTCCAGCGCTGCTCCTTCTCCTTGGGTCGTTTTCACTTCCCACTGCCGTCAGGTCCGACGGCGGCGGCTCCGAGCTGCCGTCCATCGTTCTCTTCGCTTTTGCAGAGTCCCACCTTGCACGCACAATATGCACCCGCACCCGCACCTGCAACCGGTCGCGGCGTGCGTCCGGCCTCGACTAGCCCGCACCAGACGCCAAGAAGAAAACGCGACGATGCCAACCAACACGACGACGAGGTCAGTCCAAGCGAAACGGAACTCCTCTTCTCGCTATCCAGGCCGCGCGCAATATCACGATCCGATCGCCAAAGTAACGAGAGCTCCTCGATCGATAGCCGGGATACTGGGAGAGCACCACTGCCACTGGCCCCGCACTGACACTACGTGACTCTCCTGTTCCTTGCTCTCTCGCCAACAACCCGCCTTCGACCGCTCGAACCCTGCGACTGCCAGCGACTGTCTGCACTGGTCTGCACTAGCAACCGAAAACCCCTCGAAGCCCCGGCCTCGGCCGGAATCCCAGACCCGGCCGAACCTGCACGAGCGACCAGCCGTTTCGACAAATGGCGATACGAACTCGCCCGAGGATAGGAGCCGACCGAGAATGCGCGAGATTCGATCCGGGGATTAAGGCCGGTTTTTATGCACAAACTACTCCTTTTCGTTGATACTTGGGACATCTGTTTCTCACTCGTATTCCTATTAACTATATAGCTTGGTTGGTAACGTAGGTACTTGAAATTTAATTTTTTTTCTTCTTCACCCATCTACGTACCATCGGAGCATCGAATAAATTGCTCTCAATCACAAATAAGTTCGGTTATGCAAATCAATTTATATTTTGTTGGATATAGGTCCTTACATTTCTTTTTTTTCCTTATTGTCCAGCAATCCCATAATACACATAAATCTTCGAAATAATGTGATCTACACATTATGATTAACAATTAATCTTTTGTTGTTCCGTGCATTCCGTACATACGCCTGCATTAATTCTCTCGCAACGATCATATTAACGGATAAGAAATTCATACATCAGTCGATAACATTTAGGTCCTTTTTTTTCGTAATCCTATTGATTGTACGTATGTAGTCTGATCACGTGCAAACATCTCGCTACTTCATTATTTTCTATTCGATAACGTATATGTATATGTATACTCATATAGCGAAGAATGTTTTCAATCTTTTATACGATTTTATATACATGTGTTACAAGATGTACCACTTTATAAACGGAATTCTAATAGTGCAAATTCCAATCTACATCCTGGAGGTCATTCAGGTTCTTCGGGTACATCTTATACATATTAATTATTAATATATGCACGAAACCGTCCAGAAGTCCAAGTCATTACATGATTCAAGAACTATCCTGTCTCATTCTGATATTCCATGACAACACGCACAGATATTATCTAGCAGATATATTAACAGATGTCTTGATATTATCATCATAAGACATCAGACTCTTGCTTTGACAATCTTAGACGGAAAAGTCTCAAGTGACATGTACGTCAACCTAGGAATTTCATTTAAAACGATGACTATTATATTTTCGGGTAAAAGTATTAATAGAAAAATATAGTACCCCCATTTGCATTGCACTTTGAATCACAATTTGCATATACAAAGTTGATCGCATGCATCTATTCGCACAACACCCTACTACTTGTATTCTTAGTATAAATTTTCGCGCACTTGTCAACGAACGAAATGCCTAGTTGATGGTGTTACGAGATTCTTCGATCTAAGGAAATTATCTGCGTTTATCTTCTCCTCTTCGGAACCCTTTAAGTACATAATTAACGGTCCCTTGCAAAATGTGAATGAATTACGAGTGATTCTTCCATGCAAGGGACACGTGAATTCACGACCCGAATTCCTCTGTGTTGGGTTCGATGGGTTTGAACTCGTATGCACCACGTCCGTCCATTTGTAAATAATACTGCAATTAATAATGTCAGTGAGATATTGGCGATCTATTAGAGAATTGTACATGTCACTGTTAATGCTTGTATACTACCTCATGATGTTTCCACAAGGATCGCCGATGTGACACGGTAAACAAGGTTATGTTAGCACGTCTACAATAGGAATACATAGAGTCCTCGACGTCGACACTCACAGCACTCGTGCACTCGTCCAAGATCGCAAACTGCGGTGCGTGATAAAACAATCTCGCCATCTGTATCGATAATAGTGATTTAGATAGTGTATTTTAGATTTTAGACTAAATCCTTGTTCATTTTAGAATAATTATTAATCTTACTGCAATGCGCTGTTTCTCTCCTCCGGAGAGTACATCCATCCAATCTGCTACTGTGTCCCAACCTTGACTTTGACTGTTCGACTGAGACTCTCTTTCTAGGAGATGACCCAGCTGGACAAGATCCAGTAATTTCTGTAGATCCTCATCCTTCATCTGTCCTCTCCTGATCATCTCAGCTCGTGTGTGAGGATATATCACTTGGTCTCTCAACGTCCCAAGGGTCATGTAAGGTCTTTGGGGAATGTAGAATAATTTCCCACGTGGGGGTTTTGTCACTGTGCCACCCCATACTGGCCAAAGCTAATAAATTGTCAAGTAAAATTTGTATGTGTGACATCGAAGAAGAAATATAGGAATGAAATAAGTCAATTCAATATTTACCTCCCCTAGTATTCTGAAGAGTGAACTCTTGCCGCAACCATTTGGTCCACAAACAAGGACATTCATCCCGGACTTCACCTCAAATGTTAATTCATTAATAAGTATATCGCCATTAGGAGTAACCAGAGGCACACGGTCGAATCTAATGACGTTATCCTTGGCTATTATTTTCCCATCTCCAGGACGACCTATGGGATTATTCTCTAGATTCACTATCATAGTCCTCTCATATTTGCCCACGTTTAAGTCATCCAAGACTCGTCGCAAGTCAGTCACTCTCGCTGTGAAGCCTGCTAGTCGTGTCATTTCTCGTCCTGCTAGCACCAATCTTCCTATAGCTTCTGCTAGCTTGACAAGCATCCTGCCATAGGTATAATAACTCTTGAAACGATGATCAGGAGTGCCTGAGAGGACCGGATGATTCTTTTGGAAAAACGGAATGCTCACTGCATAGAAACCAACTACCGTCGCCACATCTGCAATTGAACGTTCAATTTTTTTTTTTTTTCATTGTTGTCTACAGTTTGCTTGAACAGTTTTTACAAGGTAATAGTTTTGCAACATCTATTTTAATTCTTCTCACACTTACACTTTCCAATGAAATTGTCCACTACGCCCATCGTCACTTTGAATTCAAGAAACTTACGTATATGCGTTACCTGCAATAATGTTATAATGACAAATATTATATTCTAATTTAAAATATGAATTTTTCTTTCAGCTTACCAATTTGTGGAAGCTGGCGAGAAGTGTTAACTTCTCACGAGTGTTACCCTGATAAAAGGCGATTTCCTCTGCATTTGTAATAAGTCGTGAATTGATATGACGATATTCACCCTCGAGTCGTTGTTCTTTTACTGTCAAGTGGCCTATTGGCTTTCTGAGATGTGTTAGGAAACCTCCGGCCGCTACCATGTATGTCAACATGAGAAGCGGTGTCTGTAGGACAAATATTTCCATTGAAGATTATAAAGAAATAAATTATACTGTCAGTTCAATTACATAAATTATATCAAAGTATAGTAATTACTTGTCCACCAAGGTTAGAGGTGAGTCTGTAAACATATATGCAAATGTCCAAAGCAGGTTTGGCAACGTTACTATACAAATCTGTACAGCTCTCGCAAAATTTATCCACGTCTGTGGTCAGCAACTGATCAGGATTAGCAATGCGTGTGTCTAAATTGCTCATTTTGTAATATGTGAAGCCCCTGTGAAAAAGAGTAAATTTATTAAATTATTGTTCTTATACGTGGGGCAGACTATTTGTGAAGTACGATTTGTACAACTTTATAAAAAAACAAAAATGAAGAATAGTTTTATTAGATATCAGTCTCGTATCTAATTAAGGAACTATAATTAATTATTATTCTATCATAGACCTTGGTAGGTCTTAATGCAATTACTGATCGAGAATACAAAAAATATACATGCTCCTTAAACCTTCTATAAAATATTCCTAACGTAATACTGGAAGCAACACCTCTCTGACCCTCCATTGTTTTCAAATATATATCACAACCAAAATGTTTAATAAATTTTCATCATACATACATTTATATTAATAAATGTGAGACGTCATATACTGTCCTTACTTACTTCAGATACTGATCCAGTAAGTAGCGTGTAATGTTTGTTCGCAGCCTCAACTTCACTTCTCCTATACTGTATTTCAGTACATTGTTCACAACGGATATCTATAAGAATACAATTGAAGGAAATTGTTAAGCAATAGCATTATTTGATGAATTTATACAGGGTGTCTCACCGAAAATGCACACCTCGATTATCTCCATTACTATTGAAGATACGGGGAAAAAACGAGCTACATTTTCTTACATCAATAGGAAATGATATTCCGTTTAAAAAAAAATATGTGAAAAAATCATTTGGATGAAAAATCGGAAATAATCGAAGTGTTCACCTGCAGTAAGACACCCTGTATGCATGACGTTGGTAATGAATATACAAATGAAGGTATGAGCAGGAAGTATACTAGACTCTGATGTAGTTCAGTTTTATAAATGTCAGTATTATAATACTTCGATAATTATATAGAAACAAGAATTGATATTTGATTTTTTTTCAAATTGTTACAAGTAAAAAAAAAGTAGCAATAAGGAAAGCTCTACAAATCTAAATTGTTAATTGTGAAATAAGATTACAATTTTGATTACTCACCAAGGGTAATGTAGCTATATATCTTAAAAGTCTCTTTTTAAATAAAGGTGCATCCATGTTGACAATGGATCTAAAAGAAAGAAAGTCCATTATCTTTAAAACTACAAATTAGGTATCTCATATCATAATCCAAGCAAAGGATAGAGATGAGATAAACATTCGTTACTTGTACATACGTTTCTATAAGGGTTCCAGTGTGAATCAACCATAAATCACACAAGGATCTAGCAACAAGCGCAGCAGCAACCAGAGTAACGAAACCTGCTTCTGCTGAAAAAACTCCTGGTATACCAACTGAGAGTAATTGATATAATTGTTTAAAGAAAGCAGCATCGACCTGTGCTCTAGGTCCTTTAGGTTTGTCCTGTAATAAAATATTGAGCCATAAAGCAAATAATTTAAAAAAAAAATTAAGGAAATAATATACTTCGTACCTCCTTAATAACATACTGAATGTCGTTAGCAGGCCAGGAATTTTTAGAGCTAAAAGAGTAGTCAAATCAATAAAATTTCCACGAACTATAAAGAAGTTGTAAAGTTATGAAATACCTGGTTTTCACTATATTTTTTCTACTTCTGCGTTTCAATATCCAAATAAGGGCACTGATAGTTAATGCACCAGCTACTGATTGTTTAGTCACGTATTTACTAAGGATCGGAGCCATCGTCCTGGTCGTTCAAGGCTTCTGATACTACCTGAAGGCGTTGAAAGAACGTCAACGATGTGTTGTGCATCAGTTTCAAAGCACGAATCACTGGCAGTTACATGGGTCTGCTTTTGCGATTACAGCACTGGGATCTGCAGTGGGGCAACCGGTCCCTCCCAAATCAGTTGGTCTGCAAATCAGGTACAAGCCAGAGTACATTCAGCCGCGCCTGAGCAGTTGATTCTGCAGAGAACTTTCTTATTTTTTTTGTCGATCACCTTAGAGTAGACAAAGAGCAAATTTGGCATTATTCGCATCGATATCAAAGAATTATCATTCTTAGATTAATTTATAATCCTGACAGTTTCCAATACGCAGACGTGGCATAGCCAGTCGGTGGGGATATTTAACTAAATAGCTGACGCATTCTTTTTGGCACGTCATGGCTATTCTTTAATGACTCTGTGGAATCTCATATCATCACGAAACTGTATTTCCATTTTTACTAATGATCTTGGATGGTATAAACTTGATAACTATAATCGACAAATCGTATGTTCCAAGACAATTAAGAGGACTCACAAGTACCGATCGACAATGTATCGTTACCAGACACGGAAATCGTAAATAGCACAATAGTTATATGGATTTTTTACCCTAAGCAAAGTTTAAAAACCATTTCAAAGTATTTTTGCAATAATTCATTCAAAACTAGAAAATACGTTTATCTCAATAATTAAGACATTTAGCTTGACGCAGTGGACAATTTTCCAGTGAGATATTTTCTTCAGCATTAGACTAATCATAAGATGGTTAATATTTATGTTACTCTTGAAAAATGTGTCTTCAGCTTCGCAATGGCAATTTTCGTGATTTAAAAGTCTGTATCGTTTGTGCTTCATGGTACATTAATCAAGTCAAAATATTAAAGATCAGAAGTCGTTTTACCGAGTAGTTTCTGTGAAAGCTGTCATGGTCATTTGAAAATGACCTATCTACAAAATATAAGCTCAAAAAATACAGAAATATGGAGTTCATTTAGGACTTATATGTAGCAAGCTATAAACGGCAATCGTTAAAAATACTATAATCATGATTAAAAAAGACATTGCACTTACATCGAATAGAATCACACGAGTCTGCAAGTGCAATCCTAAACGTACTGAAAGATTTTATTGTACTATATGGAAATCAACCAATTATTTATTAATAAGACGCATAGGTGAAGAGGTCATTCGATAATTCTACTGCAGCTTACAAATAAGCAGAAGTGGGTTTATCGAGTTAAGAAGAATTAATGTCTGCGTTACCTTCTGTCGGAAAACACAGGATTGCAGATTCCTGACATACCTTGCGATTTACTGCATGATCATCACAAGATTACACTTCGTGTGGTTGCTTTGATTTATCAAAAGAAACCTCACCTGTTTCTTGGTTTCATCTTCGTAGGAGGTTTGGACTGAATGCGCAACATGAGGCACTCACTGTTCCGCCAATGACTGGATCGAAAACTTCGAGTGACGTCAGAATCTAAATTCTTCGACGGCTGATTGGGCGTAGGAGGCATTTAATGTGAAATGCAACATGTCGCGATCCGCTTGATTAGATTAGGGCAGGTCCGTGTACCGTCTCCACTGTTTTCACACTTTTAACGACACATTTAAACTGCTTCCAAAACTTCGTCATATTTATATGTGACTTCGCTCAACGCTTCGCAGCCGCGTCCATCCTTCACTTCCACTTGGTCCCGCTTGTTCGTTACTTGAAAGTACGAAATTGTACGTGTTTTCTTGTTCTGTGTCAGTCGCGAATGGCTCGACGAACGTAACATAACATAATAAACCACACTCAGTGACTATGGGACGCCCCAGATCCGTCGAGGCCGGAGACGTAATTTTTATCGCGAAGATCACCGAGCGCTACATTTGAGTAAACATTGCTGCTCGACGAAATCGAGCTTACAACGCCAATATGGGACTTCTTTTCTCCAAATTATGGAGCCTTTTTGGGAACAAAGGTGAGTACTGATAGTCGATTGTAGAGATTTTCTTCTTTAACAATTTTATTTTTTTTTGTATTTCTGGTGATGGGTCGCTATCAGGTGTCATCTTTTGTTGATCCTAACCTAACAGTCTACAAATTTATAATTTCCTGTACTTTCTTGTATTACTATACCAACATATGGTTTAATCGTTCCATTTCCTTGACAATCGGTTGTCACTTTCACAAAGTGGAAAGTCTCAGGTGAATTTTCGTACCTGCTATATCACTCTCGTTATCTTTTATTTATAATTTATGGACGACCTAGATTTTTAAAATGATTTTCAAGGTTTAACGTTTCGGGGGCATTGTCAGGAATGTGATCACGTTACAAATAGGAATTCCACACTGGACGCTGACTTTCACTTGTGTAAAATTTTCTACGCTTAACAGATGTTGGGCTATTGATTATTATTGCTCGTTAATATGATCCTTCTGTATGTACACGATTATCCTTGAGTAACGTAATCCATTGCTTCCTTCGTGAATAATGAATACTGCTAGTTTCGCTGCTGTATAATATTTTAACAATAGATTTACAATTAGTGCTATCAAACATTTGCCTTTAATTTGGCTTGCTCTCGTTTTCACTGGATTAAATACAGGCGGTAAATTTATTAGCACAGTGATGAAAGTAACTACTTCCTGTCGCTTTACGTTGTTCTCCTGTCCAATGTCAATAGTCAATCATTCCCAATTGAATAAATGTAATTCTGCCACTATATTTTTCAATATGTTCATTATCATACAAAAGACTCAAAGATCAATGATAAGAATTTACCGCGTTTGTCGGGTATTTCAAATAAATTTTGTATAATATTACTGCTTGCTTCAACTTTTTTTCTTTCTTTTATTTGTTGAGTTAAAATTTCTGACCTTAAATTGAATTTAATATTATTGGATCAATGCATGAGGAAGAAGATGAATAATTAGTTTTGAGATTTAATTTTATGCTGAACTCATTTTGCCTTTGGAATGACTTCATATACGTACCTTATAAGTTGTTGACTTTAAAAGCAGTTTAAATATTTATAAAGACTGACTCTCATGCTACGATATACAATTACGTCGACATACCACGTGCACGACATATGTTGAAAACATCCAAATTATTGCTTGGGTTGTCAAATGTTCCAGACTTACAGGAAAGTCAGAATTCTTTTTATTTTTTACAGAGCACAAAATAGTCATGGTTGGTTTGGACAATGCAGGGAAGACTACGATTCTGTATCAGTTCTTAATGAACGAAGTTGTTCACACGTCTCCAACTATTGGTTCAAATGTCGAAGAAGTTGTATGGAAAAATATTCATTTTATAATGTGGGATTTGGGTGGCCAGCAGAGTCTACGAGCTGCATGGTCAACTTATTATACAAACACTGAATTTATCATTATGGTGATAGATAGTACAGATAGAGAGAGACTCAGTGTAATCAGGGAAGAACTTTATTCAATGTTGAATCACGAAGAACTCAGTAAAGCCAATGTTCTAGTCTATGCCAATAAGCAGGATTTGAAAGGCAGTATGTCGGCAGCTGAAATTTCAAGACAATTGGATTTAACATCCATCAAGAAGCATCAGTGGCATATACAGAGTTGTTGTGCACTGACCGGAGAAGGGTAAGTGGAACAATCGTGTAAATACAGATAATACTTTTCATCGCAGGCATGACAAAAGTAAAAGTCATATCTCAAAGCATGATATCTTGTGGTCGCTGTTAATTAGTCCGAATCTACATTATTGGCAGATAAAGTTACTTTTCTTTTTTCAAAGAGAAATAACGCAATATTATTTTTCAGTCTGTACCAGGGCTTGGAATGGATTGTTGGACGTCTAAAGAAAACATGACGCACATTGTGAACATCGCAAGCAACTCTAACAAACTATTACGACTGTATAAAAAATCCGACGATTAGGTACCGTGCCACTTTGATGGTTGTACAAAGTAACACATTCTTCTAGACTTAGCTAAATTTGGTATGACTCTGAAAGTGTAGTTGCATAAATTAATGCGGCTCTGTGGAACATTTTACTATGAGTGGTGGACGGGACGAAGGTCCATTGATACAAAAAAAAATTTGAGAAGAATGTGTATGAAAGATTTGAGAAGATTTAAATTTCCGAATGAGATGAGGCAGAGACTGAAGAATTCTTATGAAATTATTTTGTCCCTGTAATAGTAAATGATCGAATACCTCACTGTCGATGTAGAATTATGTCAAATTATTACTACTGATAATGATTTGACTTTGGCCACTTGGCTTTGAAATAGTTATCCCCAATTATTACTTTATTACGAATTTACGTAATTTGCTTAGAAACATGGAAAATGCAACTGAACCATTTTACCTTAATTCGTCTACAAATGCATATATACTATTTTCATATCGAGGAAAACGGGTGACGTGCATTTCGTAGTTCGTTTCGCTTTCTTAGAGACCACTACTGAAATTATATTAATACAATTTTGCGACAATGCATACAACATTTTTAATTGCAATCAATATAAATTCTGCTCAAAGGTATGAATTGAATATGGTTTTTCGAGTAAGCCTAGCCAACGAAGTTTAACATGGAGATTCTCCATTTTACTCTTGCAAGATACAAATTGCTCAAGATGGTTCTGTTGCTTTATGAATCCCGTCCACCTTTGATGATTTTGATGACAACTTAGTAGAAAGAAAAAATAAAAACCCGTGGACGTATCAAGTCAATGTATAAACAAACGAATCTTCTTCTTGATCCTGTTGACTTTATGCTCTAGAGAGCCAAGTGCCAGAAAGAAACGAATGAAAAGTCAGTCGTACGGCTTGTTGCGCAATTACAGAGGTAGGCAGGCAGTGTATATAGTTTTTATACTTCATCGGTGACAGTAATCCAATGTAAAAAGATAAACAGACACAAGTAATGCATGGACGCAGGAATACGACACATGAAACGTAGAGACACACTATACACATTGGTGATAACTATAAATTGCCTCAAATTTTGAACGTCCTTGCGTGATAATTTAACTGATTTATTAGAGCTTGATCACATGGGAACATCTTGTAAGACTTCAGGGACTTCAGGACAAGGTTACTCAACAAGCACGACTTAAAACTTAGACAGAATCCAGACTACTCTGTGATACGTGGATTTAAGGGTGAGACAGTTGTCTGATTTTTGTCAACGGTATAAGGTCTGTGAAGATAAATTATCATTTACTGACTCGCGTTTTTTTTTATTGCTCCAAAAAAATATATTTCTCTTGGTAACGGAGACAACTCATGTGATTGTATATGCTGGAAGTCGAATGACAATGTTGTGACAGAAGTGTGAACATTTCTTTTTTCTTTGGGTAGTGGCATTCGATACGATTTCAATTGTCAGACAGAGAAATACAAAGCAAAATCAATACCTGATTGATTGTAGAAACCAGACAATTGTTTCATTATTCTCAGCTGAGTTGTGCAAATATAATGACTAATTTTTATGTAGCTATAAATACTCCCTTAGATAATTTTACTTGTAACTTAAAGCATACGTGGTGAAACATTACTAAATAACGAATCTAAATAAAGTGTTATTTTAGTAATTGTTAATTAAACCATATAATTGACTAGTGTCATCTAAAGCCAGAGTGAGAGGAAGATTTACGATTACAGAGAGAGAGAGAGAGATAGAGAGAGAGGGCGTAGTATTTTTTTCTCATATTGAGAAAAGTAAGTAAAAACGAAAATGAGTTTTTTTAAACGAGCATGGAAAGCTGTCATTATTTCTTTTATTTGTTTCTGTCTTCCTTTTCTATCTGTATATCATCTTATGGACATGGCCCAGTCCTCATAGGCATTTACTTTACATCCCTGTTGCATCGATTGAAGAAGTGATCAAACAAGAAAGTAAATTATTGCATTTTGCTTAAAAATTATTAATGTAAGATACGCATTCCTTTTGAATGTCCTTCGTACAGCATTCGCGAGTTATAATATGAAAACAAGCAAAGGAGTATATTATGTACAAATTTGTTAAATGATTTGAGGATTGAAATTCTGAAATAAAAATAAAGAAACTATTATCTACAGCCAAATCATCACCTTCATTCGCGGGCCCACCGAAGACAAATTTTTAAGAGTAACCCTTCCATCCTAAAAATCTCCAGTTTACAATCCATTTTAGGAATTTTTTGTATCCGAGGGTAAATAAGAAATATCTGCAAATATGGTTTTATAGGATTTCTATTTATTTTCTTTTTACTTTTCGTTAAATATAAAGTATCGCACACACTCACTCATTCTCGCGACAATGGATCTACCACTGGTCACCATCCTGACACTTAGCACAGGGATTGTTACAACTTAACAATTAAACGTTCGGGGATCGTCTGATCAGTAATCTCCAGGATCTAAAAACAGCAGGCAATGCAAACATAGGCATTGAGGACGCATTGGCAATTAGACCTAGGGGGAATAATGTTATAAATTTCAAAAGGTGGTGAAGTAACGAGTATCGCGACGTCCTTACGATACTGATTTTCTTTTTACGCAATTATCATAAAATTAGCCAAATATGTGTTAGCCTGAGTATCAGAGATCAGTGGATTAACTCTCGTTATCACCCTATTATCACGCGTCCAATAGCCAATGGTTGTCTTAGAATTATTTAAGTATCCTGTTAACTTAGATTGGCGCGTGCCTACAGTGTGTAACAGTAACATGAGTCTGTACGAGTACTGGCATTTAAATAACGCTAGTCAATGTCAATGGATTTCCTGAGGATGATACACGGTACATACAATGTCAAGGAAAACTAACAACGCTACGTTCATCACCAGGTTCTGTTCGACAATCAAACTCTTTCTAATGATTGGGGCGACGAGCAACCTTTTGCTTCGTTCGAGCTAATCATTCCAGTTACTTGGAACAATTCTTCCCGGGGAAGCTCTCCGATGACCCTGGATACAAGTTGCTTATACGACACGATTCTCTACGTTCCTAAAGCAATAACAATCAAACGTGTGACTTTAATACGTTACGTTTGCTTGATGAATACTAAATGTCACACCTCTAACTCTTCCCTATCACCACCTGTATTGTCGACTATCGTTTTCGTAGCGTACTCTATGATATACAACAGACACGACATGCGTGCGGCAATCAACATTTTCAATGGCGACACCAACCCACGAAGTCCGATCTGGTGCATATTTTAAATACGATTGTACGTTAAGAAAGTAAAACAGGCACCAGACAAGGCAGTGATGACCTCATGGACACCTGATTAAGATGATGACTTGGGTTACGAGTTCGACTGAACGTTCAGTTTGTTCCTTTTGCTTAACGTTAGGAAAGACAACGGGAACGACTTTGAACGCTTTTTTCTTTGTGAAACGAGTTCGCTAGTTTCCCTACCTTTTTTTTTGGATAACAGATGATTATACGATAACATTAGGCTGATGTTCGATTCGAAACACGCTTGGCACTTCTTCGGAAATTCCTCGCAGCCCTTTAAAATTCGTATTGTTGTTTCTCTATCATTTGATAACGATATAAAAGTGAGCATCCTGAGTTTGCCGTCGCCGAGCTCAAATGTGACTAACGATGTCAACGATTTTTCGCGACGATTAATTTATATAAATAAGGATGACGCGCTTAGGCCTTGACGGCCTTTATGAGGAGATCGGTGCTCAGTGACTTGGGCCTTTCGATTGGCAGACCAAGAGCGCGGTCCCATACCAAGGATGCGAGAACACCAAGAGCACGGGACACTCCGAAGAGGACGGTGTAGTAGTTCATCTCCTTCATTCCATAGTATTGCAGAAGGACACCAGAGTGGGCATCCACGTTGGGCCAGGGGTTCTTCACCTTGCCAGTTTCAAGGAGAATGGGAGGAACGACCTTGTAGACTTGAGATACCAGCTACGAAGATCAAAATAAAAAAGTTCATCAGTCGCTACGTAAAGTAATGTTTCAACGATTGTTACGCGAGATTAATATAACAGGGAAAACTGACCTTGAAGAGGCTGTCCTCGGGCAAGTGCTTAAGTGCAAACTCCCTCTGGCAGGTGTATCTGGGATCAGTCTTTCTAAGGACGGCGTGACCATATCCTGGTACGACCTGTCCACTCTTTAACGTACTCCAAATGAAGTCCTTGAGCTTCTCGTCGCTAGGATTGTCTCCGACCTTGGCGCGCAGCTTTTGCAGCCACACCAAGACTTCCTGGTTAGCGAGACCGTGAAGAGGTCCAGCCAAGCCGTTCATACCGGCCGCGAAGGACAAGTACGGGTCAGATAGGGCAGACCCGACCAAGTGGGTTGTGTGAGCAGAGACATTGCCACCTTCGTGATCAGAGTGGATGGTCAGGTAGAGACGTAAAAGTTCGATAAATTGAGGATTGTCGTAACCCAACATATTTGCAAAGTTCCAGGACCAGTCCTTGCCAGAGTCGACAGAGCCAAGACCCTTGCCGTCCTTATAAGTATTTCTGTAGATGGTAGCAGCTACTCCGGGCAGCTTGGCGATCAGGTTCATCGAGTCTTCGTAGACGCTCTCCCAGTATTTGCTCTTGTGAACTCCGCTGCCGTAGGCCTTGACGAATTCACTCTCGCTGTTGAGTAGAGTGATGGCAGCCGAGAATTGGGTCATGGGGTGGATGTTCTTCGGAAGGTCGTTCAAGGTCTTAACGACGTGACTTGGCAATGAGCTCCTAGCGGCCCACTCCTGAGAGATAGCCTTAACTTGAGCGTCGGTCGGCACGTCACCGGTGATCAGGAGCCAGAAGAGACCCTCGGGAAGAGGTTCGGCGCCACCAGGTGCCTTCGGCAGGAGTTTCTGGCACTCGGGTATCGACTTTCCACGGAAACGGATACCCTCTTCCGGGTCCAGGACCGAAGGCTCCCATACCAGACCCTTGATACCGCGCATGCCTCCGTACATCTGCACAACAATGGTTTACTCAATTCAATTTGGAAACAAATAAAACTAACTCCTTCGTTGGACGTTAACTATAATATCGAAATACTGTCCAGGACCATGGCTGCATAATGTGATAAGTATTTAATTATTAAAACAAATGCGTACATCTTGAGATAAACAAACTACGATAAAACTCCTTGTATGTCACGACCGAGTACAGCACTCTGTCATCACACGACGCAGACATGCTATGACGAAAGATCTATCTCGCGACAAGAGAACTTCTTCCTCTCTCTCTATTGATTCCTTTGCAATTCCTCCATAGCCAATTAAGTTTCGATAAATACAAAAAATATATATATATATTAATTAACTGATAATCAAAATAAATCTAGACACCATGATATGGTACATACGAATAATGACGACAAAAGCCTCAAAACTATAAGACAAACGCCATTTGGCAATTTGCTTCGACACAGACTCATCGTGGTTGCACATACTAGTCATGCAGTGCATACCCATTTTGGTGGTCCATCTTATCGCACAAAAATTTGCTAATCACCCCTTTAAGAGGATAATTTACAATGACTCTACGAATTCTGTCAAAATTTCAAGGTTACCAGGGCACCAGAGCACGTACTAGTCGACTGGTCCACATGAGACAAATGATAACAGCTACAGATAACACATATTCTGGACCAGCCCCTGCCAGTTTAGTTTGACCGAGATAACGTAAGCTCAATGGCAATGCTACGTTATACCAACACGTTACTCTTATATACAATTTTCTTGATAGAGACGCGTGCGAGTCGAAACGCTATCGTTACGCGTGATAAGGAAAATCAGGCCTGGCCGATTCCTATCACGTGTACTTATTCTTAAAGAGATGATCCCTCGTCGTACGACTTCTTAAAATCAATCGGTGTATTTCCCTCACCATGTCGACAGTGACGTCTCCGACTTTGGTGGAGCCATGACTCTTGCGAAAAGCCTTCACACGTTCCTGTTCCTGAGGTACCTTCTCATTGAGGACTTTCTTCAGGTCGGTGGATGCATCGGACAAAGGTCTTAGGAGATTCGTGGAGCTTATCTTCTGTAAAAATAAAGAAAATACAAGTCTATAAAAATTGACATTGATCCAACGTACACTTATCGCTACCTTCAACATAATCATACGCATCCCATCCTTGTCAGGCACCACTGCGCATTACTTGCCAAGAATTAACGTACAATTATCTTTAACCAGTTAATGACAGCGCGATTTTATTTCCCCGTTAAAGAAGCATTCGGTCTGAGGTGTCTCGGATACCTCACGTGACCACTCTCGGGTTAACCTCAAATTTCACCATTTGCTTCCGGTCACCTAAAAACTTCCGGATGTAAGTCGAAATCGATATCCTCGATATACTTGACTGACGTCTGCCACTCGTAATTATACATGAGTTACGTAACTGCCTTGTATCGTTCGAGCAAAAGCGACCGTTACGCACGTATTTAAATTTCAAATACGACGCGCAAGCTTATTTCGCGTTTTACCGCTTTGTTGGCGCCACGTGGCTCCAGAGGGTTCGACCGATCCGCTGTTACCATAACGAATCGTGAGGACATAGTACACAATTGCTACACGTGACTATTGATAACACGCACAATGCATATGCCAGTGGCGAATTCGAAGGTTGAGTGCGGTCACGTCACTCCTGTCAAAGTGCCCGACCCATCGATGAGATTAGTACACTATTTGAATCGAGTGCGATAAAGATGCAGAGATAGGCGATCAGTCATTATATACGTCCTGAGGCGTGAAGTCGCCGAGGTCAAAGTGCACATCTGATTATCTGCGTGCGTGCCGTTCGCGGAAATGTCCATGAGAAACGAGTAGATTAAGAGGGGAAAAAATAACAGAAATAAGAAACGCGTGCGACTACATAACCTCTCTGGCAGTTTCGAGTCTGTAAAAGTGCAAGATCTTCGAGGACACTGCTGGACATGACTAACTCCTCAGAAAACGGAACTCGATGGATCTTCGTGATCAATTACGACCTGCGTGTTGCTGATACAAATTACACTAGTGGCAACCTTAACCGTGTTCCTTGGAATTTTCCATCGTTTCTTGTACGAGGAAATATAAGACTTTTCGTAACTTCGTGTTTCTTTTTATCAAGAAAAAAAAATTAATACAAATATCTTTGTGGAAAATTCTGCGGACAGATTCCAGTTTATTGATTGTTATTCGTAAAAGTGGACCGCGGTGTAGAGGATATCCGGGTAACTGGGGCAGAATGGGCTTCAGGAATTCAGTGGCGTTCTTCTAAGGCCTATGCAGTGGCGTAGAATTCGAAGGTCGTACAACCTTAACAAAATTCTTTATCGTTGTCAATATACACCTGGCAATTAGTTATAATTACCGTATCCCACAATACGTGCTAATTAAACGGCAGGCTCGATAAAGAAATATTCGTTAAGTTGACAATAAATAAATACCACTCATTAATCCCATAATGCATTCGTTCCGACCGATACAGGAATTTTTTTTTTATCACAGAGACTCTTATCAACGAATCTACATTGCTCGGAGCATCCCGAGCACAAAAATTCTTTGATTTTTGCACATATCTCAAACAAGTACTGCAACCTTACACACAGTCGCAATCTATTGCTTCAAGGAATGCGATCAGCGTCGACATTTTCTCAAAGGCGCAGCAAGCAGGAGTCTCTCTTATCTGTCATTCCGTTGGATTCGATATGCCGAATAGCAAATTTCATCAATTCATTTACAGCTACTGCCTTCTACTTACATAAGCAATTTCAAACCGTCCATGCTAATACGGGCATTGCGCAACATAACCAACAAACACGTGGCAATTCTCAAGTGAATCTTTAAATTCATCATGAAATTCAATCAAATACGCCAATACGTTATGAAGAAACGTAATGTTTTGCGACAGAGGTTATATTAAACTTGGAAAGAGGCCAAGTGTGCTCTAATAATACGAAGGGATAGTAAATACCATACAATTTCGTAACCCTTACCGTCAGTCGAAAGTCAAACACATTCGAGTAATCGATATCCGTAAACTTGTTGCTTATCGTCGGTCAATACAATGCTCCCACGTTTAAATGCAGATAAATAAGTTTATTTTTAGAAAATAACTCAACACGTCAATTAATCGTTTGCGTGATCAACCAGTACAAAACGAATTTTTACGAATCCCACTAAAAATTTCATAATAATCATAACCTTTCAACGATATTATTATTATCAGTGTCGTGGAATTTTATTGACGTGAAAAGCTCTATACTCTCGACAAGTGTCATTTCGCTCCTGGTCGATAAACCGAGCATGCATATTGTGTCGCGATGTTAGAATATCAGATTAAATTATAGAAGCGGATGTATCAAGTCTGTTTCCACAGTGCATAGTTGGACTGCAAGTTCCATTGTCGTCGACTATAAGAATCCTGCCAGGTTAGTCGGCTTAGCCGTGCCAGTTGGAAGATCAGGCTTCTCATTGGTCAGTATTCGGCAGTTTCGGCCAATCAGCGGTCTGCATTTTTATATGTACGATTAACCTGCGAAGGTTCCTTAACACACTTTACGACGTTTCGTTCAACTGCACGAGAAACTTTACAGGCAGATACCGAGCGTCATGAAGATCTCGCGAGGCAGCCAATAAGTCGTTGGGTTAAATAATTACGATGATGTATGATTTACGATACACCAACATCTATGGGGGGAAATAAAAAAAACTTTTAAACGCGCAAAAAAACAGCTGGAAATAGACACGCAGTAAAGGCGAAAGAGGAGACAATTGCAATGTTTCATTAGTGTACAAAGTCTCGGGTAACGGGTTTTCAAGAGCCGCAATTACTTTCAGTAATTTTCCTTTAACCGAAATCCGTTATGAAATTAATCGAGAAAACCGATTAGATCTATTCCACATTCGCGTTTTAATGAGAAATAACAAAAGATCCTTCGACCTATAATACGTATAGAGAAATTCAATTGGTTCATAAAGTTCGAACGAAACCTGCAGTAACGGCTGTGAACAAAGTATGAAAATCAGGTATACCAACCGTTCGAAGCGAAATGCAAACTTTTTGAAATCATTCAATTTATCATGTCACGAGTTTTACCTGACGGAAAATTTGTGCAAAAAAATCATCAGGCGCTATCTCATAATTAATTCGAGGCGTGACGTCTGGAACTGATAAGATAAGTCTCGAGGTCTAAAGTCTTAGAAATTGTATCAAATCAATTTTGATGGGGCTCAGCCAACTTATAAGATTCGTAAGAGCACGTGGTACGCCGTCTTCGTCGCTCTTGACGTCATTCCTGGTTCCCGCATTTTTATTTTGATGTACTATACGCGTATACCTATATACACTCGCCGGAATTGTGTTCACGCGTCACGAAATTCATTTACCCACAGTCATACGTAATCCTAAGAGAGCTCAGGTGATTACGTGTATTTACATATTTGACCACTTAAAAAAAATAAGTACAGATACCATAGAAATATTTTTAATTTTCAAAGAAGAAAACTTTTATCAGTTACTGTACCCGTCGTACAACTTTTCACTTTCTTACTACTTTTCCCAATTCCCATAGATCCCAGACTTACCCCCTCATGGGTATAAACCTATTGTACATAACCTAACAAAGATGCCAAAAGTACCGTTAACATCTCCTGTATAGACCCAACATTCAAAATTGTCGTAAAATATTCGAACGGTTCGAACGAAATGAAAAAGAGACTATACATATACTACTAGCAATATAAGAAATGTCATAAAAAAATAAAAAAGTTAATAAAAATCCTCGACTAAGTTTATAAGTCGATGATACCGCTCTTCAATGTTATTTAATAATTTTTATCAATATTACCCATCAAACCCCATTGCTTCTACTGACCTTAAACAATTTTCAATCAACGTCTCTCACCCGCTCTTATCCGTCGATATCGATACGCTATGAGACGAGCCTTTAATTCATTGTATACGTGACACGAAACTTTCGTCGCAGCGATATCGCACATTATCGCGCGTTGCGTAACATTACTAGACTTAACGTGCGAAGGGCACGTTCGGTATAATCATACGAGTCCCGGAGGTTATCCTCTAGAATTATCTAGTTATCTCGAAGTATGAAATAATTGGTTGGTGTCGGAACAATCATCCTGGCAGACACCGATCAACTGAATTTTCAACGGTCGTCATGATCGCCGCATAAAACTTCGAACGACGCTTCACTTCGAACTGGAGGAAACTCGAAAGGAAGCTTGTTAAAAATTTCAAATTTTTCCTGCTCAAAATCCCACGTTCGCGAACACTCGTAGGATACTCAAATATATTTTCAAATAATCAAATAATATACGAGCTACATTGATAGCGTCGCCGAGTAAGGGAAATATGGGTTCTTGAAATTTCAACTGAAATCATTATCGAAGTTGGTGAGACGCTATACGCGTTGTCTAATTGTTTATTGTACGATAATAATTGCGATGTCGATGTTGAGATTATTAGCGCAATTATTAGTCTAGTTAAATAATTACAAGGGACTCATCGATCGGTATCTATGCTACGAAGTTAGTAACGCGTCAATATTTTCTTTTTTCGAGATATTCAAATCAATGGATTGTCATTGGGCATCGAGGATATTTAGGAACGCTCGTTTCAACGGTGTTGATTAACGTATTGATGTAACAAGGTCTGGTTAACGGAGTAGCAAGACTGTGGGATAGAAGTCTAAAGGAAAGAAGACTTCTGAAATAGTTCGTTACGCGAGAAGAAGAAGGCCAAGAAGCGCGCGTGAGTATGGCTGTGGGTAGGTGCTAGTTAGATAATAGGTGAGTCGTTTAGAGGTCAGACAGAAAATTGAGATCTGCCAAATCTTCCCATTCGTTTGATCTAGTTGAAAACGTTTTACGCACCGTTCGTAAGTTAGCTGTTAGAATATTTTTTAAATTATACATTCCCGCCAACTTTTTATAACCGTCGTGTGTCCCTTTCATTATGCCATCAACCTTTCACTTACGGACTCGACTTTATTTTCTTCATGACAAATATATATATATATATATATACTTTTTCCTGGGGCATTCGCGGGCTCCTTCTGTTGTAACAATGCATTATTCAAAAATTGTATATTTTTTGTTGTTAAATATTAAAATCTTCTTAAGGATCAATTCGATATTTTAGAGCGTCCTGGTACGACTGCTTGTTGATAAACATGGCGGTTACCCAAATGGTTTATGTCCACCTGAGCTGTACAGTTATTTCAAAAAGTTTTCACGAGACTACGTACTGCTCGTTAATATTATCTAAACCATGTTATGCTATGTTATGCTATGTTATGACGTAAAGAGAGAACAGACTCAGGTGAGAAATGCTGCTGAGATACCTTCCTACGAGTATAAGAAGACGAAATGAAAAAGACGATGGGTACTCGAGGCAGAACCTGGTTTGTATGTGGATCAAGAGAGCGAAGCAGTTTTATGCCCTCGAATGACAGCTAAATTTAGAGCAGCTTGCAAAATCACATTGCTTTCTCTTCAAGTAAGTCTATATTAAAGTCTGGGTGAATTTGTAAGAATGCTTCTCCGCTCGACCTTGTTCCATTTCTCTATTCCGAAGCATGTAAAGCAAAGTGACGATCCGACGCCACGTAAAAAGGGACGTAGAAACGTCATGGCGTCCTTTGGCTGGCATTTTTCCTTTTGCGCCGAACGATCTTCGTCTTTTGCAGAATTAAATCATTTATTGGATCGCGAAAGAGTGTCAAAGCAGCAGAAAGGCTTGGATTGACGAATAGGATACAAAAAATTACGTTAATGTTTGAAATTTACAATTACGACTTGCACGAGTCATAATTTTTATTGTTTGCTGATTTGAATTCCGTGGAAAAAGAATTAGCTGATTTTTTATCACCTTGAGAAACCTTATGGAATTCTTATGTAATGAGGAGGGACCGTGGGTATTATCAATCGCGAGTCTCTGAGTTTTGTCAGTAGACGTGAAATTATACAAGTAGGTTATGGCAAGAAGAAATGTATTCTGTTATTTACTTATGGCGAGATTAGTAGAGATTGCAATTTAATTTTGGATTTTTTTCGATAATCCGATTTTGTATCATTTTTTAAAAGGTCATCCTGATAACAGAGTGCAGTGCGTGATTTTGCGCACAGATGATTAACATCGCGACACTGCCCGTTCTTACACGACCCATTCGAGTTTTCATGGTACGCGAAACACAAACGGCCGATAAAGAAGGTTTTGAGACACAAGCGTGGTAAGACGATGCTTTGTAAAAATTAAAAATAAACGATCGTCCCATGGATAACGATTTTTTCAAAAGATAATCATTCATCTTTATCAACCAATTTCAAAAAACGGGTAATTGCATTTATGGAACTTGTAAAATCGATTACATAACAATTAACAACTTGCAATTATAATAGCGCTTTCCGCAAAAAAAATAAAACACAAGGCTATGAAAAGGAGTCTCGATTTTGCGACTATAACCATTGATTCTAGCAAGTTTCATAATTTCCACAAAGCTTGAAGTTGCAAGTTCGTAAAGCACGTAATGTTTTTTTCCTATTAACTTGATTCGCATATATATATATATATATATATATACTTGATACACCTGTGCGTAAATGGAGTCATGAAAATAAAATTAGAGAAGCGAGTCCGAATGATTTGCATATAGCCGAGCTATTACAAGCTGCACAGTACGAAGCACATAGTACTTGATACACCTGTGCGTAAATGGAGGACTATAACCATTGATTCTAGCAAGTTTCATAATTTCCACAAAGCTTGAAGTTGCAAGTTCGTAAAGCACGTAATGTTTTTTTCCTATTAACTTGATTCGCATATATATATATATATATATATATACTTGATACACCTGTGCGTAAATGGAGTCATGAAAATAAAATTAGAGAAGCGAGTCCGAATGATTTGCATATAGCCGAGCTATTACAAGCTGCACAGTACGAAGCACATAGTAAAAGATTTATACCTATATCGAAAATTCATGGCAGCCTTTTCCTATTTTCTGGGTTTTCTTGCAAACGGACGCATCACCCGAAACACGGCGCATAATAGTCAGCGGTATTTTGCAAACCCGGGGCGAGGTAAGCGGTCGATAAAACGGCATTCTACAATCAGGAATAGAAGCTGTTCGTGACATCGTGCGAGTAAGAATAATGAAATCGCAACAACGAAACGTTTGTAGTGTTACGAAAAAAAGAAATAAAGAGTTAAGACTGTTCAATGATATTAAGCTGACATTAACAACGTGAGAAGCCGTAACGTAACGTGCGAATGTGACGCTTAATGGGATATTCGAATTTTCGAACCGGAAGAGTATATGCACTTTAATGAAATTCAAAGAAACGTCTGGAGCATACGGGCGCAACTTTCCACGATTTTATAAGACATTCTCACATACCTGCACCTCCAGAACACGTTTTGTGCTAATACGGAAAAGTGCCATCGTCCTTTCTCTTGCTGTTTTTCCTCTTCTTACTTGTATCTTGTTGTAACCAACCAACCGACCGACTGCGTGGAGCTCTGGCGCCCAACTCGACTGAATCCGGTGCCCCTTTGTGCTTCGCACTTCGCACCGCCGCGCATGCGCAGACTAGACTGGAGCGTTGCCGAAAGGTCGTCCATGCGCCGTGTATATATTAGTTGTGCGCATGCGCGTTAGTAATACTCTGCTAATTTTTTCTCTTGATACTTTATGCTGGTTGGCTTATACAAATATTAATTAGACTTGCAATTGCCAATTTACGGCTGATACAATTTCAAAGGGAATAACCTGGCAAATAGTGTACGCACTTGCTGTATGAATTAAAAAAAATGTATAATATCTCTATACTTGGTTAAATTGTACGTTACTGCGCAGCAAAATTTTCCAACTTTTGTAATCTACGATTATTTGCTTAAAAATAAAATCCTTTTACATACTTTTGTTTACACTTTAACAGTTATTTGCTTTAGTGATTATAGCATGCGTACATTATACATACGCATGACGTGAACCACTTATTTTAATAAGTGATTCCATTATTAATTATTTTTTTAAAATTTCATAGAGAAATCGACAGTATTTTTTATATTGCATATTATTGCTATATATATATATATATATATATATATATATGCTTTTTTGAAAAAGCAGTCATACATCTGTATATATAATATAAATCAATGAAGTTTATCATCAGGATATTTTTGTTTCTGAATTTACCGATAACCCAACGCGACTGCATACTTCCGAAGCTAATAATGATCTGCAAAATAAAGGTACAGGTTATTAACAATTTGTATTTTCTTTTAGTCGAATAAAAATACAATTGACGCTTTGAGGATAAGGGTAGATTTACCTGTTAAAAGTGAAAAGATGAAATCCATTAGCAACGTTGCTGTCAAATATCTCCTTGATCATATTAGTCACTAAATCAATTCCAAATTTGGCGACTGCCTCATCATTGTCCTGTATTGGTTCCAAAATGTCTAACACCTTTTTTGGAATTTCTAATTTACACATATTCGTCATTCTGATGAGTGACTTGAAATTCGGTATCGGATATATACCAGGAATTATTGGTACCAATATTTTAAATCGTCTACAATCTTTGACAAAGTCGATAAACACCTTTGCGTCGAAAAACAGTTGAGTTATAATAAAATTTGCGCCAGCGTTAACCTGGAAGTATATCGAAAAAAATATAAAAAGTTTTATACCCTCATTTGCTGTATATAAAAGTAATCAGTTAAAATTATACTTTTTCCTTTAAGTAAAAAAGATCAAGCTCCTTAGTCGGAGAGTTTGGATGCATTTGAGGATATCCTGCCACGCATATAGAAAACTTTGAACCAAATTTGGACCTAATAAATTTTACGAGATCAATTGCGTAAAGAAAGTCTCCATTTTCTAATCCAGAATCTGTTTGTGGCGACAAGATCTTGATAAACAGTCCGCTCCTCGGATTGTATGATACAGGTATTATAAGGCTAAAAATACACTTACCACCTCGCAGCGCAAAAATATTTATCTTACCACAGGCGAGGGCTGTTTTTAAAATGTTTATTAGATTTTCTTTATTTAAAGATCTGCCCACAAGATGCAAGAGCGTATTGTTTGGTAAAATTTTTATAAGATCCGTCGATGCATGTTCTTTTCCAGCGATATTGGGGTGCCAGGATATTGTATAGAATAATGGTGAACATTGCTTTGTTTCTGAAAAAAATCTAACAAAAATAATAATGTTAAATAGTCCTTGAAAATTTCGAAAATTCGGAATATCTATTATGCGATGCAAAAATAATTTCTACTAACCGTTCATATATTTGATCCTGTCGTTCCTTTACTGGATTAAGCTCAAAACTATAAAATTTCTCGTTTTTACGAATCTTTTCTTCTATAAGCGAACTTATGTTTATTGCATTCTGTTGAGATTCGGAATATTCCATTTTGCTGTGAATCGAGCTTTGATTGATTTTGCGAAATAAAGTCCCACCCGTTGTTTTCAACTTAAAATAGAACTTTTCACTAGTTGCTGAACACACGTCCAAGCCATATGCTGTAAATGGTTATATAGTATTTGAGGTTACAGAGAACTTTATTCATTATATAACTGGTCAGTAAGTGATTTCAGATATTCTTGTATTCCATTAAAAAAAGCATAAAACACCAAATGACCAAGAACGATGTCGATGCTTGAATTACAATATACTTTAGGAATGAAGCGATCAGGTTATTTTTAATTTTGCCATTATGATTAATAATTCATCAGATGCATAAGACAAAACATATTCATATTAACTATTTTTTATTTTTGAATCAGGTAAATACAATTTTCTGCAAACTTCTGTTATGGGAATATCAGAAACAGGTGGGATACCACCAGGTATTCTTTCTTGATTGGACAATGAATATTTATCATTGATTGTTTTAATGTCATCGATATCAGGTGTCATTCTCATATTAATCGCTGGATAAATAATAAATGCAAATACCCCTGCAGCAGTTAGACCCCAAATTGGAATAGCTACAGCCCAATATTTTAAAGGCCAGTATGTGAGTCCTAACTGTTCATGTAAAATGTAATCTGGTACTAAGGCCCATACAAGATACAATATAAAAAATATATTGGATCCAATATACAAAGCATACCCATATACAGCCCTCGGCCTGTAAGGTGCTGGGGTATGTTCTGCCATTTCGTCAATTTTTGGTATAGTTGTCAGAGACGCACTCATACAGTTTTATAAAGATTCAATACATAGTTCAATCAATAATAACTGTATTCAGATTCAGGTGGTCCTAATTCTTTCATTGTTTCAGTTACAAGAATTAAACTTTCAAAAAAAGATGTAAGTCCCACTCGTACCTTGCGTGCTTCTTGGCCATAAAATATACTGAAACAAATATAACATATGATTCAATAATATACTAATTTGTTATCTTTATCTTTTTAATATATCCCAAAGTAGTAATAGATATATGAATAATTACACAGTAAGAAGATTCCCTTCGACAGTCAGTTGTTTAGTGACACCACTCCTTTTTGGTTCGTTATCCACTCTTAATACTTGATAAGCTACATCAGCTTCTCTGGTTGTGGGAAACGGAATGGTGACGTTACTGTTTTGATATTAAGGTTATATACAATTACATGGAATATGAAATTCATATTTAACAAAAATAAAACGTCTTCAGAAAAGGATACACATTAATGTTATTCATGACACGTTTTTGTGGATGACATTCGTCCGATTCCTCGATAATGTATAAAATTTATGTCCTACTGACCCGATTGTGATTAATTTCAAATACATGAATACCATACATGTGGCTGATGATGACTATATGCATCTTCGAAATTCATGAAACAAAAAAATATAATCAAAAACTAGATTTCTCCAAATAAAGACTTGACTATTCAAAAAGGGATATAAACGTTTCGTAACAGTATAATATATACACCACTAATATAATACGTAATTGATTTTAATCAATTGTTTTTATCTACCAGTTTGAAATTACAATAGGAAATTCCGTTCAGCAGTTTTTTAGAAATTTTCTAGTATCTTTTCGACGACCTGACCCGGCACAGCCACCACAAGAGAAAAAAATTTACCCAGTAAACGTGGTTAACCAATTATGTGAAACATTTAAAAAGAATACACGAACGCGATTGCGCATTTTTCACTACATCACATTCGTAAAGTGAATAGCTCTCAACTAGTCCCGTCTTGGCATCAGAAGAAGGCAAGTACAACGATTGACTAACACCTATTCACTTTTTATATTTTCACCCATAGCAAAAGTTCGTTATGGTGCCCCCCCCCCCCC